GCATGTGATGGGGTGTGAACCGACAGTCTGTAGAGTTTTCCATCTAGTGTGGGTGAGTGATAGTCTACTTTGATTTTGGTTAAGGTAGATTATCATTTACAGTGTAATCAGTGAGGGGATTCTGTAGACTGTTGAGGGTTCAGCCTCCTGATGAGTCGGTGAAACTCCGACGAAACAGTTTGTCACAGCCCCTCGTTTGTTGTCCTCTTCTCTCTCTCTGCCTACGGTTTACCGGGCAGTTCTATTTGTGACGATATATATATATACATAGTTCTGGGGAGGTATTCAGCAATCAGCAAAAGTTAGACCCACTCAAGAGTTAGTAAGTCAGTAGGAGGGGTTAGGTCTAAGTGGTGAGGAGGTGGAGGCCACACACCTGTGCTTCTAGTCACCATGGATGATTACCCCATGTTCTCACTTCTGCCCTATCTGTGCTCTGGGGCCCCCTCCTTCATTTCATTTTCCCTCTTGGCTTCCAACGGACCTTCTGTTCCCATGCAGTGCTACGGTTTGGGAAGTCAACACAGGCCCAAACAGCTGAAGAACAGGTTGAGGTAAATCGCCATCTGGTAGGAAAGAAGAAAGAAAAGGAGGAAAAGATAAAGAAAAAGGAGGAGGAAGTGAAGAAGAAGCTGCAAGAAGAAAAAGAGAAGTTGGAGAAGGAGATGAAGGAGAAGGAGAGGAAATTGATGGAAGAAGAAAAAAAAAAAACAGAAGAAGAAGAAGAAGAAGAAGAAGAAGAAGAAAAAGTCGTGGGAGAAAGAATGGAAAGAAGGAGAGGTCAACCACTGGCGGAGCAGGCCGAGAGCAGCGAAATGGGAAGCATACGGATGCGCCAGTTGGAGGCAATGGACTGGCTAGGCCAATTTGGATTTCGGGAGGAGCTGCCAGCAGAGAGTGAGGAAGAGAAGGAAACTTTCCTCAAACTGTTGTCTAAAGTGAAGGATGAGACAGAGAAACGGTTGTTGGTGGAGGAAAAGAGAGCAAGCTTGCATAATCGCATGCTGCTAGAAAGGAGAAAAGAGGTTGATGAGAAGACGGAAATGAAAGAGGAGGGGGAGAGATTGCGGCAGATGTTGCAGGAGCAGAAAGGGAAACAAGTTGCAGTAGAAGAAAGACTTACCCTCCTCAATGACACTCTCCTCCATACCAATGAACAACTCGCTGTACTTCATCAGACCGTAACCAAAGTAGAGGCACAACATGGAGAATTTGCTGATACATGGAATAACTTTCTGAATAATGCCTCGCCGCAGATTGACTTGCGAGTCCGCGATTATGTGGAACAGTTAGATGAAGCTCTCTGCCAGAGACTTAGGGACCCCGCCGTGATTAAACAATTGAAAATTGGTGGTGGGGGAGGAGATGGAGGCGATGATGGTGATGATGGGGACAGGAAAGGAAAAGGGGTCAAGAAAGAGAAGGATGAAGAAGCGGAGGAAGCCAGGCAGAAGATGAAAGTGAAACTGCCATGGAGTTATAATGGGAAGAAGGAAGTATTTTCCATTGGGAAGCCGCTATGGGAACGTATGTGTATGCACATAAGATTTCGTACTGGGATCGGGTATTAATGGTAAATTTGTGCATGGCAGGGAACACAATGAGTTTCGCCATCTCTTTAATGAAAGAGGTTGGCTGCACAACCGTGGTCGAGTTTTCTCAACAGATGCGGATTGAAGACTTCTTCAAAGCCCTTAGAGAAAAGTTCGAAGATAAGAACCTGACCCGTAGGACTGAGTCTTTGATCCTTAACATTAGTGACTGTGAATGGAAGAGTGCGTCAACCTTTAAGGCCATAATGGATGAACTGTTGCAATGCCCGGATCACGGACTGACACCAGCACAGATCCTGAATAACTTCGCTAGAGCGCTCCCTGATCCCCTGAAGACAACTTTATCGCCGCACCAAAGAAGAGGGAATGACATATGAGAAGTACAGTAAAATCGTTGTAGATCATGCTGGCTTTCTGCAAGGGGCACAATATTGCCACTATTGGAAAGACCCGCAAGCTGGAAAGAAGTGGAAAGACCGAACAATCTCGGGAAATATAGCAGGCAAAGACAACTTACTGGTCACCTTCGAAGGAGGGGTAGAGTCACTCACCTATGACCAGATAGACTATGGGTTAGAGGAAGGAAGCAATAGTCACTTACCCCGGGGGGCGGACTATGTGGTTGTTGCAGCCCGCGGGGGAGGGCTACAAGGAGGAAGAGACCGTGGTAGAGGAACAGGAGACCGCGGTCGAGGTGGAGGAAGAGGACCCGCCGCCCAGAGGGGTAGTGGCGAAGGAAGCTACTATGTGGGAGGTAGGGGTAATGGTCCCTCGCAAGGTGGAAGAGGTTCCTACTCCACAGGGGGAAGAGGTAGAGGTAGACGGCCATACCCGGAACACCCAGATATAGCTGAAGGCAAACCTTGGTTGGAAATGGGTATAGACGGAAAAGTATGGGAAGAGCGTCGTAAGGCCGGTCAATGCTTCAAATGGGGTGACCCCAACCACATTGTTCCTTTCTGTCCTGAATAAAAGGTACCCAAAATGGAACGGCCAGTAGAGGTTGCAGTTGCCTCTACAGGGACTCTGGACGCAAGCAGACTGTTAACCTCCCATCCAGAGGCCCCAATGGCAGAGACTGAGACGGTAGATGGCCCCCACCTAGTTAGCTGCCAGAAGTTGCTTGTGTTAGGACTTCTTTAGGTGGTTCCCTCACAAGCATAGGTGATGAACTGATCACTCGTCACCGCACTTGGGCCGAAATGAAGAAAAGGAAAGGGCTGTTAATAATTGCAGACGTAGAGGTCACAGGAGTCTGGGTTAGCGCACGAGTGGACAGTGGGTCAACGCGCAGTTATATTAGCAAGAAAGGGCTGCAGAAGATGCGCCTAGGGCTGAAAGTTCAAAAGTTAGATCAGCCTATCGTAAGCAAGTTAGCCGACAATAGGGAAATGATAGTAGATAGTTATGTTGAAGGGGTTAGGGCATAATTTCGGTTGGAGGAAGGGGGAAAGGTGGAACGTGTACTGCACTCCTTGACACTCTTAGTGGAGGACAGTCTCCCTTTTGACATGATTCTAGGAACTGACTAGGGTGAGGCCGCCAATGCAGATGTGAAACTGGGTGAGCATGAGTGTTGTTTGCCTAGTCCTACAAGTGGAAAGAAGAAAATTTGACTTTACCATGCATCTGGCATAGAGAATAGCCTATCCCTTTGTTGCATGAGTGCCCTGGTGTTCCGCCAACATGTAGTCAAGAACGACCTCGCCGACCAAGTGTTTGTTGCATATGTGCGCCCGGTGAGTGAAGAAAAGAAAGGGGAAGAGCCGAAACCACCCAATGTGCACAATTTGCTTGTTGAGTTCGCTGATGTTGGAGAGGACCCAAGTGGAGTGGTTGAGAGAGAAACCAAGCACCGGATTGAGCTAGAACCCGGTAGTCGGATTCCCAAGGGCCCTATCTATAGGATGTCTCCAAAAAAATTGGAAGAGCTGCGAAAGCAATTAGATGAGTTGCTTGAGAAGGGGTGGATTAAACCAAGTTCCTCGCCATCGGTGCACCAGTCTTGTTTGTACCAAAGAAGGGTGGCGAACTACGAATGTGCATAGACTATAAGGGACTTAATGCGATAACCGTTAAGAATGTGGAACCGTTACCACGAATAGATGATCTCCTGGATAGAGTTCAGGGTTGTAAGTACTTCTGTAAGATTCATCTGAAGTCGGGATACCATTAGATTGAGGTATTGCTCGAGGATCGGCACAAAACGGCTTTCCGAACGAGATATGCCCACTATGAGTTTGTGGTGATGCCGTTTGGYTTGACTAATGCCCCTGCAACCTTCCAGAGATGTATGAATGAGTTGTTTCGTGATTGGCTTGATAAATTTGTTGTTGTTTATTTAGATGATATACTGATTTTTAGCAGGTGCCTGGAAGAGCATGAGGAGCACCTTCGAATTGTGCTTAATAAATTGCGAGAGGCGAAGTTTAAGATGTGAGTGGGCAAACCGTCAGGTCCTTTACTTGGGACATATGGTAGACGGTGATGGGATTAAACCGGAAGATGCTAAGATTGCAGCCATTAGGGATTGGTCCAACCCGCGCACGTTGACGGAACTGCGGTCGTTTCTTGGTCTGGCCAACTACTACCGCAAGTTCGTTTGGAACTTTACGGTAATCGCTGCCCCATTGCGCAGATTGCTAAAGAAAGAAACAGTCTGGAAATGGGATCAGGATTGTACCGCGTCCTTCAAGCGTTTAAAAAAGTGTTTGATTAACTATCCGATGTTGAAAGTTACAGACCCATCTCTGCCTTTTATCGTAACCACTGACGCCAGTGAATATGGGATTGGTGCTGTACTCCAGCAAGACGATGGAAATGGGTACAAACCTGTAGAGTTTATGTCTTGTAGACTACCTAGCGAAAAGGTCGCCGCTTCTACCTATGAGAGAGAGCTGTTTGCTCTGAGGGAAGCACTGAATCACTGGCGACATTATCTGCTAGGACGCCATTTTAAAGTGTACTCGGATCATGAGACACTTCGCTGGCTTAAAACCCAGGCCCAGATGACACCTGACTGACCAGGTGGGTTGGGGAGATTGATCGGTTTGACTGTGAATTGAAGCCAATAAAGGGCAAGTACAATGTTGTCGTTGACGCACTGAGTCGAAGTGCTGACTTTTTCGGTTTTATTGTCACATACTTAGAAGCAAGCACCAGTAATTGCAGGAAAAAATTAAGTCTGCCTACACAAGTGATCCAGTCTATAGCCAGTTGATTGGCAAGGTGCAGACGACAACTCACGAAGTCCCGGACTATAGAGTAACATAGGGACTGTTGTTTGAAAAAACAGATGTGGGGCACTTCGGTTGGAGGAAAACTTATGCTAACCTCCTATGCTCCTATATGTGGCCAGGAATGAAACATGATTGTATTTCCTATGTGCAAGGTTGTCGGGTTTGTCAAAGGAACAAAAGTTTCACACAACCTCCCCTTGGATTACTTAGACTGCTACCTATTCCGTCGGGACCCGGAGACTCCGTGTCTATAGACTTTATGAACACTAAGATAAAGGAGCAGGAACGGAAAGAGTCGGGTTATGGTTATAGTGGACCGGTTTAGCAAGTTTGTTGTGTTTGTTCCACTTCCTGGAAAAGCAAGAACTGAATTGGTGATTAGGGAATTCTTTAATCATTGGGTGAAGGATTTTGGGCATCCCTTGACTATTGTAAGTGATAGGGATTCGCTATTCACAGGAGAGAAGTGGCAGCAACTAATGAAGGTATACGGGTCCAAACTGACTATGTCTTCAGGTAGACACCCTGAGACAAACGGACAAACTGAGCAGATGAATAAGCTGCTGCAGCAAGTGCTGCGCATGTACATCCGGCCAGATCAGATTGACTGGGATGAACATCTGCCAAAAGTTGCAAGCGCCTATAACAACTCTGTGCATCTAGCTACATCAAGAACGCCTATTGAACTACATCTAGGATGGCGCCCTCGTAGACCCATTGACTGTCTAAACCCTAATCAAGAACAGAGACTTTCGCCAGGAAACAGAGAATTTGTTGTCCAATATCAGAAAGACCTGGAAAAAGTTAAAACGAACATTAGTAAGGCACAACATCAAATGATAGAACAGGCTAACAAACATCGTAGACCTTCGCAATTTGGTGTAGGTGATCTAGTCTGGGTGAAATCAAAAAAGTTTCTCCCTGAGGAGAACATTTCTCAGAAGTTATTACCTGCTTATCAAGGACCCTGGCAGATTCTTGATGTGATAGGTGATGTTGATGGTCCTTCCTATGTTGTTGAGATTCCTCCACATTTGCACACGTATTCGGTGTTCCACGCTTCAAAGTTATTGCCTTGCGTTAGTAATGACATGTTTCCATCACGCAGATCTATGATTCCCCCTGATACGGATGGTAAGTATGATGTGGATAGAATTGTTGGGGAAGATGTTTATAGATCTGGACGCAGGGGTAGACCGCAGCGACAATATATTGCCTATCAAGAACCTACAGAAGATCACTGGTTCATGAGAGATGAACTAATGGCAACAGCACCGCATATTGTGTCATTCTATGAAAGAGCTAAGAGAGGAGTTAACATAGTGGATAGATAAAATCGGTTATTTTCTCGGAGGACCTCGAAATTAGGCCGGCGAGACTGAAAGGCCTTCCACGATTCAGACCCCAAACTCGGATCCACGAGTGACAGGCAGATTCACCAAGCAAGAGTCATGTCTCAAAGCCAGGAGTCGCGTTTCCTAATGAAAAGTCATATTGTAGAGTCACATCCCCGGAGTAAAAAGGCAGTATCACAGGCAAAAGTCATGACCCACAGGCAGGAGTCACTGTCCACAGTCAACAGTCATGTTCACAAGTGAAAAGTCATGACTCAAAGGCCCAAGCACAGCAGTCCAATGGAAATCTGGGAAGGTTCAAGGCCTTGACGTTCAGAAGCAGATAGGCCGTGGGGATGTGGTAGTGGAAGCAGTCAGGACCCAAGAAACAGAGGCTGGCACGAGTTGAAGTGCAAACCAAGACTACAAAAGGACTGGCCAGCCTCACATTCGGGGAGATTGCTCATTCGCAAAAAGTGTGGAAGTGCTGGTGCACTTGTGCGCTGAAGTGAAGAGCAGAGCGCTGAGGCCAGAGTGTTGCACTAAGTGAGGGAGAGAGAGGAAGATAGTGCTGGCAGGGAGAAGGCAGCCATAGTTGCGCGAGTGCAGAAGTGTTAGTGCTAGTTGTTAGTAGTAGACTCCAGAGGGGTTAGTAGAGTTAACAGTGGGTGTATTTAGAGTAGATCCATGAAGTAGTAGATAGTGAGTGTGAGTGCATGTAGGGAGAGAAGACACAACGAGGACATAGCTAGGGAGAAGACCAGCAAGGTGGAGAGATACATAAGAGGGAAGAGCAGAGGGGAGGAGATACTTACCTGAGAGTTTATGCTGATTATTGGTTACCTATGGGCACGCACTGATGAGCGATGGCGACTTCAACTCTTATTGCTCTTGTAATACTTTCTGGAAAAGATAAGTTGCGCTACCTGGTCTTCATCTCTCTGGTCTCCAGTGTGAATTTCGTGTGAACTCATACATGCATGTGGTGTGAATATGTGCACTCACTGTTGTTGAACTAGGAGGTTCATTGCAGTATGGTCTACACTCTATGAATTGGGGGCAAGTTTGGTTAACCTCCTTTTACCCAAGGGTCATTTTAACCAAACTTGCCCCCAATTCATAGAGTGTAGACCATACTGCAATAAACCTCCTAGTTCAACACCAGTGAGTGCACATATTCACACCACATGCATGTATGAGTTCACACGAAATTCACACTGGAGACTAGAGAGATGAAGACCAGG